TATTTAAATAATGACCGGATGCAGGGATTTCAAAAGTTTTGAAAGTTATAGGCTGAATCTGAAAAGTAGCAGGCGCACCATTTATCGCTCTGTGTGCAGAAATATGGAGACAAATTGATTGTTAGTGTTTATGTACCGTATTTCTATAATCCGCTCTGCTGCTCTACTTGTGTTCCAGCTAGAGGACTGAAATGTGCCTCTCAGAAGAGTTGTTTAAACCCTGTCCAATGTGCATGGTAAAGAATGCGCTTGTTTGGAAAATACTGAGGTTGGTCTCTTGCTGGACTAACCAATCACCACCTGAAGGACACCATTGAAATAAGTGCACAGACTGGGTGGGAGGGTTACCCTTGATGTTCAGTAGATAAGCAAATACCCCTGAAATTGTTCTTATTGATGAACCTTCTGTGTGTTGCAAGATGATTGTACTCTACACAGCATGTCTATGGTTGTTGTTACTGTACGCACATTAGACATCATCAAAACTAAGATACATGTAGCACTACAATGCTCATTAAAATGTTTTATGATTTGAAAAGTACAAGAAGAATGAAAATAGACATTGCTAAAATGATTATTGATTGAAAAAAAAATGATTGAAAAAAAAAAAAAAAGGAAAAACTGTGCATATTTTTTTTGTACAATACGTAACTTGTACTCCTACCGTAACGCCCAAAAAAAAACAAAACATAAAATATAAAATGTAACCATTATATTTACATTTTCTGACACCACTAATCAGTCTCTTGACCTCAAAAACATGGTGTCATTTTCCCCCCTCCCCCCTCAATTTTGTTTTTTGGCCCTCACTGTCCCATTTTTCAACCAAATTTCTTTTAAAAGGTGACAAAATGTTCAGGACAAGAAGACGCCTCATGTAAGACCTGTACATTTGGTATTTGAATAACATCACCCATTTTTTGACCCTGTATAGCCTCCCACTGTTTACATGTTATATTATTCATAAATCAATTTTTTCTTTTATATTCCTTCCAGCAAAATGTACTGCCATCAGTTTCAGAAGTTTTCTTCGAAAGTCAGAGAAATTCTTTTGCAAGTGAATGTACAGTGGAATCTATAGTGAGTAGAAGCAGGGACTCACTGGTTTCAAATGAACCAATTAAAAGCCAGCAAGTTGAGCAGAGTACCCAGTCCACATATGACAGCATGAATGATGAGTCTGATCTCAATAGCGCCCTCTATAATAGTGTCAGGAATTCAGTTGAAGCATTGAATAACAGTAAAGAAGTAAATAGAGCATCTTTTTATCGTTTTATGATTTTGGGGGTGGAGTTGGGGAGAGGGTGGGGTAGGCTAGGGGAGCTGGTGTACATTTTAAATGGTAATTTTATAGAGCATCCACATAGTTCATAGAGGGTCTAGGGTTTGAATCCTGATGGAGACAATGTTCTTTTTTTCAAAACCTTATCACCTGGTTTGACTGGCAAGGTGTTCCTTCATACCAAACTGTCATCAACTTCTTTATTGTTTGCTGCATATTACGCAATACCTTGAGAAAACAAATGCTCCAAATTGGAAAATGCAAAGGAGGATACCACAAATTGATAGAATATTCAAAATATATTCAGAGGGTGTTGGGTTGAATCCTGATCAGGACAAAGTCAACTTTATCTTTAAAAAACTTTCACTTATAAGTAACAAATTGCCTGAAATTGTTCTACTACAAAACTATATAAACAATACTGTTATGTTGAATAAATTATGGCATAATACTCAAAAACTAATATGCAATTATTGGTAAATGATAAATTTTGGTGTTTGTAGGGTACCTTAGCAAGCGTGTGTATTTTTATTTTATTTTATTAATTGTTTTAGGCCAAACTTAGTTTTAGTTAGGGTTTGAATCCCTCGCTGTGCATTTTGCTTGTGTCCTTGAATAAAGCACTTTATCTGCACAGTTGGTTTCTTTCCACCAGAAACAACATTCAAGCATGTGGACCCGGGGAATCAAAAGTGCTTTATATCTAAAATAAAACAAAATTGACAAATATTCAAAACTCATTATTAAAGGCAATGCAGTCATATTGATCAACACTGCATAGGGTTTCCAATCAAAAGAGTATTTTGCATGCAACTTGCATTCCATTGTTTGTTTATATATTGTGTGT